ATTTTGGTCTTTTCTTCCTTTTCTGTCTTTTTAATGACATTTTGCTTTCTTCATGGATGGCGTTCTTGTTGTCATTCCACAATTCCTCTGATTTTCAGTCACTGGTGTTCCAATTCATCAAATCTATTCTTTAGATGGTCTCTAAATTCAGGAGGGATATACTCAAGGTCATATTTTGGCTCTCGTGGACCTGTTTTAATTGTCTTCAACTTCAAGTTGAACTTGCATATGAGCAGTTGATGGTCTGTTCCACAATCAGCTCCTGGCGTGGTTTTGGCTGAAGATACTGAACTTTTCCATCGCCTTCTGCCACAGATGTAGTCAATCTGATTCCTGTGTACTCCATCTGGCAAAGTCCATGTGTATAGCTGCCATTTATGTTGTTGAAAAAGGGATTTGCGGTGAGTAAGTCGTTGGTCTTGCAAAATTCTATCATGCAATCTACAGCATTTTTTCTGTCACCAAGGTCAAATTTTCCAACTACTGGTGATTCTTCTTTGTTTCCAACATCTGCATTCCAATCACCAGTGATAAGCAACACATCTTGATTGCATGTTCAGTCAATTTCAGACTGCAGAAGTTGATAAAAATCTTCAATTTCCTCATCTTTGGCTTTGGTGGTTGATGCGTAAATTTGAATAATAGTGGTATTAACGGGTCTTCCTTGTAGGCGTATGAATATCATCCTATCACTGACAGCATTGTACTTCAGGACAGATCTTGAAACATCCTTTGTGATGATGAATGCCATGTCATTCCTCTTTAATTTGTCATTCTCGACATAGTAGATCATGTGGTTGTCTGACTCAAAATGCCCAAAACCCATCATTTCAGCTCACTAATGCCTAGGATATCAATCTTTATGCATTCCATTTCATTCTTGACAACTTCCAATTTTCCTAGATTCATACTTTGTACTTTCCATGTTCCAATTATTAACGTATGTTTGCAACTGTTTCTCTTCAATTTGAGTCATGCCACGTCAGCACATGAAGGTCCTGAAAGACTTACTTTATCCATATCATTAAGGTTGGTTCTATTCTGATCAGGCAGCTCTTTCCCAGTCCTATTTTGAGTGCCTTCCAACCCAAGGGGCTCGTCTTCCTGCACTGTGTCAGATAACGTTTTCAAGCTATTCATAAAGTTGCCCAGTAATGTATCAGACAGTGTTTCTCTGCTATTCATAAGGTTCTCGCTGGCCAATTTTTGAGAAGTGAATGGTCTCCTCCTTCTTCCTAGTCTGTCTTAGTCTATAAGCTGTGTTGAAACCTGTGCACCATGTGCAACTCTGCAGGTGTCTGAAACACCAGTAGCAAGCCTCAAGCCTCACAGCAACGTACAAGCCCCACAGATCACAAACTGACAGCCAAGTTTGTCTCCATATAATGGACTCAAAACAGAGTATTTACACCTGGCTTTAGAGCAGTGATTGGTAGACTCTTTTTCCGCAAATGGCCAGAGAATATTTTAGTCTTTGTGGGTCATACGGTCTCTGTATTAACTATTCAACTTCGCCATTGTAGCACAAATTATGTGTGGCAGGGCTCCAGTAAAACTTTACTTACAAAAACAGGGAGTGGTTGTGTCATCAACATATCACAGATTGTTGGGAGTGTCCCTCCAATCCTGATGCTGCATTTTTCTTCATATAGTTCAGTTTTTTAGGTTATTTGATCAGTATACAGATTGAATAAGTGTGATGTAAGGATACAACCATGATACACACCTCTCCTGATTTTCAACCACGCGGTATCCTGTCTTTCTGTTTGAACCACTGCCTCTTGGTCTACATACAGGTTCCACATGAGCACAATTAAAAGTTATGAAATTCCCATTCTTCAAGGTATTATCCATTTATATTACATATTTGCATAGGTAATAAAACATAGGCAAACATCAAAAAAAAAAAAAATTAGGGAGTGGACCAGATTTGGCCTTTAGGCTGTAATTTGCCAACACCTGTTCGAGAGCCACACCCGACCTGGGTTATTTCATCTCTCTAAGCCTTGGTTACAGAGCTCTGGTGGCACAGTGGTTAAAGCATTCAGCTGCTAATGAAAAGGTTGGTGGATTGGACCCACCAGCCTCTCCATGAAATAAAGATGAGGCAGTCAGTTTCCATAAAAATCTGCGGCCTCAGATACCCTATGGGGGCAGTTCTACTCTGTTTTATTGGGTCACTATGAGTTGGAATCACCTCAAGGGCAGTGGTTTTGGTAAACCTCAGTTTTCTTCTGTTAACTACTGAGTGCCAACCACCTCAGGCTGTGTTAGAAAAAAATCAAATAATACAGGTAAAATACGCATCAGCATATCTAGCATATACAAGTGAAATAAATGATAAAATGAACCAAACTAAACCAAATCCACTGCCATTGAGTTGATTCCAGCCAAATGGTTTAAGCACTGCATCACCATGATTATTAGTAAAATAAGGGACATTATTATTAAAAGTGATTCTGACATTTCATTGTCAGAACATCATTACCAAAACATGTGTATAGTAATATAAGCAGCACAGGGATATATGTTCAAGAATGTGCATTTTTCCCTTTCCTCCTCACTTGGCGAATGCCTGTCTCTCTCCTCTCCCAAGCTGTTTAACTACAATGAGATTCATTCAAGAACATGTGTTAAGATGCTAGAGAATACCAATCCACGGACTGCACTTGTGCCTAGACTCTTGTAACGCACAGGTGGAGAGTGGAACAGTGTTCCATCATGAGTTATATGCACTTTAAACAAAATTTTATTAATTTAAATTCCCCAAAATCCTTAATATACTAAATATAATAAATGACTTTTGGTAACATGCAATTATTAATGTAAAACTTCAAGCAATTTAGGTGGGTAGTTCAGTAGGTACGTACATGGAAAATATTATGGATTAAACTGTGTCTGCTAAAACATACTCTGAAGTCCTAAGCCCTCTATCTGTGAACATGATGTTTGAAAACAGGGTTTTTCTTGTTATGCTAATGAAGTCATGGATGAGTACTAAACCTAGTCCATTCTGAGCAGTGTCTTATAAAATAGACAAGGAAAGAAACACACACAGGGAAGACACCATCTGAAGATGCCAGCAGACAAACCTAGGAACACCAAGAACTACCAGGAGTTACCACAAGCTGAAAGACACAAAGATCTTCCCCTAGAGTCAATACCCTGAATTTGAACTTCTAGTCACCTCAGCTGTGAGTAAATTAATTTCTTTTAAAGCCACCCATTTGCGGTATTTTATTATGGCAGCCCTAGGAAACTAAGACAGGAAGACAGAGAGATAATATTAGGAAGAGTCTAAATAAATTTTATCTGAGAAATAGTACTCTGAAATGTAGATTAAATGCAGATGTAGATTAATTAGAAAAAGGCATTTTCCATTTTTAAATGTTCAAAGGGAGTAAATGAGTAATTCACTAATGAATGAAGCATGGTCCAAAGGGAAACTGTTTGTTATATGGGTACAGATTATGTAGCTTACGGCAGCATCCTGTATCACTTTTTGAAACCATCACCAGTGGCACCTGATTTACTCTCACTTGATTTCAGGACGCCTGGTGCCGGCAGACTACCTCTACAATGGGCAAAATGCCTTTTAACAGATGGGCTAGAAGCAGGACATGCCAGAAGATCAGCATATGCATTAAGTTGGAATCCTAGGTAGATTCTCACCAGGTCAAAACAAAAGCCACTCATTTATTGTTAGGAAAGTAAAATTATTTAGTAATTGTTGTAAGTAGCCCCTAGCAACTCTGGACTGACATTTCAGAGAAGAGAGCAAACTTATACGTGAAATCATCTGCCAAACATGAGAGGTGAGCAGGTCAGTGACAAAGCTATGAGGCAGTTGTCTATGATGCAATTTCCTTGAATAAGGGCAACCAATTCTTCACCTCTGCTCCACAGACAGACTCATCCTCAAAAGCAAAATGTCAAGGGAATCCCAAACTATTTTGAAAAACAAACAACATAGACTTGATTATCAAGAGATCAAAAGTTGAGCAGGCCATGACCACAAAGGAAACAAGGATAAGGTGGCAAACAGCACTATAATGATCTGTTCTGAGCACAGAGATCAGTCATGCTCTTCATTCTTATTTAATATTGTTCAGGTCAAGAACACAAATGTTCCTACAGACATGGGCTTGCCCATTCCCATGGACTGGGGCAATTACCAGGGCAAAAGCAATTCTAGTGGCTCCAGGTGAAAGTAGAAGACCCTATGAGGAAGCCCACAGAGAAAATTTAAGAACCTTTTCCCATTCTATTTAAAAATTGGTAGGCATGAGAGATTTATGATAGTCAAGCAGTCAAAATTACAGTATGTATCTGCCTGAATTTCTAATGAAAATCTTCATTAAGCACAACCCCCAGTAATCTGGGCACAGAAGATAAAAAACATAGGAAACAACAGAAATACTTAAAAATGAAGTACTGTTAAAATTAACAATCCTACTTTTAAATAATATATTCCTTAAATGTAATCCACATTGTAATATAGCTTTTAAAACTGTGACCTGTCAAAAACAGACCACATTTAGCACATATGGGCTACTTAACACCATAGAGAGTTAGAAGGCCAACTGAGAAATACCTGAGAAGAAAGTGAATAGAATAAGGAAAGCACTAGAAACTTACCTCAGGAAAATAAAGACTATAAACAGGATGTGTTATCTTTGATTTGGTCTCCAGTAGAGCTCTCTCCTTTCGCTGTATACTCTGTTGTAATTCTTGCCATTCCTAGTAAAGACAAAATTAAAATATTTCAAATAAGGTATGTTTTTAATCATTTTGATGCCTTTTCATCTTTTTCTAGCTTCCTGACAATGCTAACTAACTAGTTAAGGTTAGAATGAGTTCAGTCCCACAAATCTGATCACTTCCCTGCTCAAAATGTATAATGATTGCTTTTAGAAATCAGTCTAAGCCCTGTGCCATAAATTATCCAGCCATTCATGACCTGTCCTGGCCTGCTTCTCCAGTCTCCTTTCTTCCTTGTACCTTTTATTCTAGTCATTTTAAACTACTTACACTTCTCTGAACTCACCAAGCTGTTTCACTAAATGGTAGCACAGTGGCTAAGACACTTGTCTGCTAACCAGACGGCTGGTGGTTCAAACCCACCAGCCACTCCTCGGAAGGAAGGTTGGGCAATCCTACTTCCGTAGTGATACTGCCTCGGAAACCCAAGAAGGGGTCGCTATGAGTCGGGTTTGACTCAGCACATAACAACAACAACAACATTCTCTGCCTGGCAAATTCCTACTTATTACTCTCTCAGGACCAGCTAAAGCCTAAAGTTGGAACACATATGTAAAGCCTGCCATAAATGCCCCTCTCCTTCAGAAACAAGGTGCTCACTCTCCTCCTTTGTATTATCACTGCCCTTTGTATAAATGTGTACAATCTATTATATACTATAATGTTATTTACCAGTTTGCCTTCCCTACTAGCCTGCAAACATTCAAGGGCAGAAAATATGTCATAGTGCTTGCAATATGACAAATAATGAGTAAGTTATTTGTTGTGTTATTAGTCACCTGAAGAAATCCATCTGTTAAACCCTAAGAGTCACTTCTCCTAATCCTAACATACTCAAAACAAGAATGTCAACATGTTCCCAAATGTGAGGCTGTGGAAATAATTCCTCCATGGTTTTTAATTTCCAAGCAATCAAATTAATGCTGAAGCACACACACACACACACACACACACACAAATACCCAAGGCCTAGCAGGGAGCTCTAGTAACTGGTAGCATAGTACTTAAGGCACTTCACTGGTAACCAGAAGGCTGGCGGTTCAAACCCACCAGCCACTCCTCAGAAGGAAGGCTGGGCCATCTGCTTCCGTAGAGATACCACCTCAAAAACCTAAGGAGGGGTCACTATGAGTCGGGTCTGACTCCATGGCACATAACAACAACAATAGAGGCCTAGCAACTGCTAAAAAACAAAGCCATCCTTAGCTTTCTTTTTCCCCACCACTGCCAGGGATGGGCATATTATTATTTCTCTATACTCTCTCTCTTTTATCTTTTGCCCTTTACCTTTTCTTGCTTTTGGCCTTTCCTTTTGCCTGAAGGGTTATTCAGGGGATCCCTCTTTCTCTCCCAAACCACAAGGTTATTAGTTTTAGATCAATGGCCCAGTCAAAAAGAAAACCACTAACAAACAAGGAAACAGCTGATCAGTTTACAGTTGATTTGCAGTAAGCCTCTCTAAGGACCATTATTTATCTACCAAACCCATTCTTCTCTATAGCCCTCACATAAATCATATGAAACTTAATGCCATGCCATGAGATTTTTTTTCTATACTCTCTACCCTCGCTATCCTAATATATTCCTTAGAAATGTCCTCTGCCCTTAGTATCTTACATATCCCTTGAAACAAAGTGGGACTCTGTAAATATTTGTTTTCCTTAACCAACTTCGTGACATTGGGGTCAACAGTAATGTTTCTTTACCCTAAATGTCACTTGGAACCTGCTACCTATTTCACAACCCACCTTTCCTTATTCATATTTCCAAAAACATCTCCAACTCTGAGACCAAACATCTAAGACCCAGATCCTACTCTATCTAGCAATTTAAGATTTAAGAAAACTAAGATTTCTAATCCTTGTTAGACACTCTTTTTATTTATATCCCTATTATCCCTTAAAAATATTCTTTACAAAGTAATACATTAAGAACTTATTATAAAATATAATGGTTTTATTTAGGACAAGCCAACAAACAACAAAACCTAAAACAATCATCAGAGGTATAATTCAATTATGTAAATCCACAACGTAAGTCTTACTGCTTCATCATCTTTGTTCTGCTTTTCATCTTGCTCTCTATCAGAGTCTCTGTCACTACCATCATCTTTTTCACTTTGGGAATCTCTATTGGTTTCTTCTTCTTCAGAATCACTGCCTTTCTCAGACACTTCTTCTTCATCTTCCTTTACAACAGCTTCCTGAAAGGGAAAAACAACCATAAAAAGTTCTAAATATCTCAATAAGTCCCTGAATTTAACTTATTATGATTGTTAAAAAAAAAAAAAAAACTGGCTCAAGGTTACACTTTGACTATTAACACAGAATTTATTTTAATTATAATGTGCGAGTCCAATTGAAGATGCTAATTTTTGCTTTTTGTCTATTATTTTATTCATTCTTTAAAGTTTCTAAAAAATGTTATTTCAATTTGCAATGTATACTATCACAATGGCTAAGACACTTCATCTTTCAAAAGCATCAATTATACAGTGTATCTTATTTGAGGAGGAAAAATGGAAACTTTACAGAAAAATTTTCTTTTAAGAGTTTAGTACCCTTTTCTGTAACTGGTAGGATATAATACAATATGGAAAGACAATATCTCAGACAAAATACTCTCCCATCTCAGGAAGAAAAAGAACAGCAAATTAAATGCAAATAAAAGTAGAAAGGAAGACAACAATAAAACAAGAAATCAATGAAAAGAAAGCAGATATACAAAAGGGAAATAAAACCAAAAGCTGCTGCTTTGAAAAGATCAGTAAAATAACAGTAATAACAAATCTCTCTCTCTTGCTCAAGAGAAATAGAAAACACAAATTACCAATATTAGGAATAAAAAAGAAGGTATCACTACAGATGTAACAGACATTAAGATAAGAGGATAGTGTGAATAACGTTATACCAATAAATTAGATAATTTAGAGGAAATGAGCAAATTACCTAAAAACCTAATTTACCAAAACTGAGAAAGCAGAAAATCTGAATAGACTTATATAAGTTAAAGAAATAGAATCCATAACTAAACTCTTTTAAAAGTTCCAGGACCAGATAGTTTTTCTACAGAATCTTCCAAATAAGAAACAAATCCAGTATCACATACTCTTTCAGGAATGAGAAAGAACAATTCTAATGAGGTCAACATAAACCTGATTCAGTATGAAAAGAAAGGAGAATGACAAGCCAGTTATTTTCTTATAAAAATAGACTCAGGAATCCAAATGAAATATAAAAAGGATGTCACATCATAAGTAAATGAGATTTTTTTTTTCCAGGAATGCAAGGATGGTTAAAAAAATTTTTTTTCCAAAATTTATTTTGTTGTTGTTGTTGTTGAGAATATACAAAACAAAACATACATCGTTTTCAACAGTTTCTGTATGTACAGTTTAGTGACAGTGACAACATTCATGGAATTATGCAACCATTCTCACCCTCCTTTACTGAGCTATTCTTCCCTCATTAACATAAAATCATTTTTCCCTAAAGTTCTTATATAATCCTTGGACTGCTGTTGTCAATCTGATCCCATGCAGATACCTCTTAAAAGATCATAATGCTCAAAAGGCAGACTTTTTTACTAGTTACGTTTAAAAATTTTTAAATCTGTCAACATAATTTACCACACATTAACAGAAAGGGTAAAAATAATATGTACATCTCAATAGACACAGAAAAAACATTTGATAAAATGCAAAACTTGCCCATAATAAAAATTCCCAGGAAACTAAAAATAGGTATCTTAGTTATCTAGTGCTACTATAATAGAAATACTACAAATGGATGGCTTTAACAAACAGAAATTTATTTTCTCACAGTTTAGGATACTAAAAGTTCCAATTCAGGGAGCCAGCTCTATGGGAAGGCTTTCCTTTTCCGTTAGCTCTATGTCATTATCTGTGGGCCTGGCGTTCCTTGGAGATATCCATGTTTCTTGGTATCAATCTTCTGCTGGGTCTAAGAGGTTCCCATAACAGGGACCTTGGGTCCAAAGGGCACAGCTCCACGTCTGGCTCTTCCGTCTTGGTGGTAATAGGTCCCTCTATCTCTGCTCACTTTTCTTTCCTTGTATCTTTTGTGATGCAGGCCACATCCCAGGGAAACTCCTCTTACATTGGATCAGGGCTGTGACCTGATTATGAATTAAGAGTATAGCATCCCATCCTTATAACTGAGTGTTGATCAAATCAGATCACATCACAGAAGATGATTACATCATTACATAACTGCCAAACCACTGAGAATCATGACCTACCCAAGTTGGCACATATTTTAGGGAAGCACAATTAAATGCATGACAGGAGGGAACTTCCTTAACCTGGTAAAATAATGTTTCCTTTCTTTTTGAGGCTGGAAAGATGAAAATGTCTACCAGTATCACTTATGATCAGCATTATATTGCAGGTTCTAGCCAACACAGTAAGAAAAAAGGAATACTGAACCAACAACAAAAAGATTGAAAAGAAAAAGGTAAAACTGTCTTTATTCACAGAAGGCATGACTGTATAAGAATAGAATCTTTTTTAAAAATATCGAGACATAAATAATTAGAAAGTGTCAATTCACTAAGTTTCGTTGATACAAAGTCAATATTTAGAAAGCAACTATATTCCTATATATCAGCAATAAACATAAGAATGAAATTTTTAAAAATGCCATTTACGATCCTGCGGGCTTGGGACCATAGTCGCAGGGGACATCAAGCTCAATTGGCATAACATACTATACAAAACATTGTTCTACCTACTACTTTGGCGAGTAGCGACTGGGACCTTAAAAGCTAGGAAGCTACCATCTAGATGCAACAACGGGTCTCTCCTCGTCAAGAAGAAAGAAGAAAACCAAAATTAATGGAAACAATCAGTCCTAGCGACTGGTACACCATCCGATCTGCAACCTATACAACTATGAGACCAGAAGAACTAGATGGTGCCCAGCTACCACTGCCATCCACTTGGAAGGGATGTAGGAGATCCTGCATAAAAAGGGAGAACAATGTGGTACAAAACTCAAAATCATTTGGAGGCAAAAAAAAAAAAAAAAAAGAAGGTGGGGACCAGGTTTGCTGGTGCAATGGAGCCGGTGTAATCACTGAGACTATGGCCCCTAGTTGCCCTTCAGGTCTGGAATTGAACCCACAACTGTGGTTTCCAGCCAAACAAAGTACAGGCATGTGAGTTAAACATTTACCTCAAGTAGACACACGCCCTGGAGAGAACAATCATGGGAGAAGGAAGGGCTGCTTATGCACAGGGAGATAGCTCAGGGTGCAGAAGAGTATGAAGGGATGGACACTGGGAGGAGGTAACTATGGGGAGGAAGTGGGAGGGGAGCTGCTGCATTGTAAATTTTGGTCAATGACATGAGACAAAGTATATGTGAACTGCTGTATGAAAAGTGAATTTACTCTGTAAATCTTCACCCAAATCCTAAAAAAAAAAAACAAAACTTAAAAACCACTCAAAAAAATGGAAAGATTAGAAAATGTAGATTGGCATAACGGTGAAAATTAAAATACTTTATAATCCGCCCCCCCCAAAAAAATGCCATTTACAACAGCACTAGAAAGCATCAAGGATGCAGGAATAAATTTATGAAAGATGAGCTAGCTATACTGCTATCACTGGAAATTATAAACTGCTGACAAAAATTAAAGAAGATCCTATTAATAAAGATAAGCCATAAGTATGAATAGAAAGACTCAATATTGTTGACAAGTCAACTTTCCCCACATCAAACCACAGATTCAATACACTACCAATCTAAATTCTAGCAACTTTTTTTGGTGGAAATTGTCAAACTTATTCTATACTATATCTGGAAATGAAAAGTAATTAGAACAGTCAAGACAATTTTGAAGATGTAATTGGAAGACTGTTCAACATTAAAAAAGCAACGTAATACACCATCAACAGAACAAAGACCCACATGATCATATCTATTGATGTAAAAAATTATTTAAAAAATTCAATGCACTCTCTTGATGAAAACTCTAAAGACTGGAATAAAGGGAGAAATCCCTCAATATTATTCAGGGCATATATTGAAAACCCAACAGCCAACACTACACTTAATGGAGAAAGACTGAGAGTTTTCCTCTTGAAATGAGAAACAAGACAAGGGTACTTACCATCACCACCTCTATTCCATACTATGTTAGAAATCCTAGCCCAAGGAATAAGATAATAAAAGAAACAAAAAGTATCTAGATTGGAAAAGAAGTAAAACTATCTTTATTTTCAGATGATATGATCCTATATAGAGAAAAATCTCGAAGAGTCCACAAGAAAACTTCTAGAGCTAATAAAGAAGTTTAGTAAAGTTGCAGGGTATGAGGCCAACTGAAAATGAGTTAGATTTCTATACATCAGCAATGAGAAATTTGAAAGGGAAATCAGGGAAACTATTCCATTTACAATAGTACCTAAGAGAATAAAATACCTAAGAATAAATCTAATCAGACATGAAGAACTTATACAATGAAAACTATGAAACACTGCTCAAAGAGGTTAAAGAAGACTTAAATAAATGGAAAGATGTTCCATGTTCATGGATTGGAAGATTAGACATTGTTATGACGTCAACACTATCCAGAGAAATTTATACATCCAATGCAATCCCAATCAAAACTCCGGCAGTCTTCTTAGCAGAAAAAGGAAAACCAATCTTCAACATTATATGGAATGACAAGAGGTCTCCAATAGCTAAAGCAATGTTGAAAGAGAAGAACAAAGTAGGACTCACACTTCCTAATTTTAAAACATAGTATACAGCCACAGTAATCAACAGTCTGGCACTGATGTAACAACAGACACCAGACTATGTAAGAGAATTGAGACTCCAGAAATAAAACCACATATCTATGGTCAACTGATTTTCAACAAGAATACTAAGTACATTTGATGAGGAAAGAAGAGTCTCTACAATAAATGGTACTGTGAAAACTGAGATTTCCACATGCAGAAAAATGAAACAGAATGCACACCTCATGCCAAATGCAAAAACAAATTCAAAATGCATTAAGGACTTAAATGTGCAAACTAAAACCATAAAATTCTTAGAACAAGAAACAGGGACAATTATGTCAGGCCTAGCTATCAACAGTGGACTATCTAATAACAAAAATACAAATAGCTAAACACAAAATAAATAAAAGGAATCTCACAAAAATTAAGAACTTTTGTTCATTCAAAAGACT